AAAGTTTAAAAGTGATATCATTTTTATTAAAAAACAATTTTTTCAAGCAATAATTAGTTTGACACACTGTTACTGTTTGTAAGCTATTAAATTATTTGTAAGCTTTTCATCAAACCATAGCCCCAAATACTTAAATTCTGTTACCCTTTCCATTAGTTCTCCATATAATCGAACACTGACATCTTCCTTTATCTTTTTGTTAGCAAACAACATGTGGCAGGATTTAGATAAAGATAACTTGAAACCCCATGATATGGACCATTCCTCTACTGCTACAACAGCATTTTCTCTATTACATGAGGAATATTCCTTGCCCTTTTCCATATGACAACATCATCTGCATAAAAGGCCGCCCCTATACCCTGTCCGATATTGCCAAACATATCATCAATCATCAACGTGAATAAGATAGGACTAATAGCACTACCCTGTGGAGTTCCGTTTTCCACCTCATATTCTCTTGATAACTTCCATTCCACCCTGACCTGGAAGATTTGGTCAAACAAGAAATCCTAATCCAGTTGGACATTATCCCACTGCCCACTAATAGCCATTCCATTCAATTTAATCAGTACACCTTCCTGTCACATTGTATATATGCTTTTTAAATGTCAAAATATAATATTGACATCACTTCCTTGCCATCGCTTGGTCACCTCACTACTAACTGTAACCAATTCATCAAGGGTATCCTTCCTTTTCTGAATCCACTCAGGTATGGACTTAATAGACCCCTATGTTCCAGATAATACATAAATCTACCTACAGTCAACTTTTCCATTAATTTACAGAGATTTGATGTAAGTGCAATAGGTCTATACCTAGCAGGACTTGATGGATCTTTACCAAGCTTCATAAAAGGCAACACCACAGCACGTTTCCATCCTTATTTTTAGCACTCCTGTCCTTCATATTTTGTTTAAAAAACTCAAAATCTTTCCCAAAACTTCTGTAGGCAGATGTTTAAACATAATGAAGCATAATCGATCCTCACCTGGAGCAGTGCAACCACACCCCATCCAAAGCCCTCGCTATTTCAAACATTGTGAATTCAGCATCCAGTGATTCTCCAGAATCACACATAGTATATTACGGTATACATCTTCATGCATTCTTAGCTTTTCTTCCTTACGTCTTTTACGTTCATTACCTAGGGTTTTGTCTAGAAGGAATACAGCTTTTGTCAAAAGTGAGTTTTTGCAGCAAGTTTAGGAGAATTTATGCAGCAGTTTAGGATAATTAGCGTAGCAGGTTAGGAGAATTAGGTTAAGGTTAGGAAAGGGATTAGGGTTAGCTAAAATGCAAAATGTTTTACTTTTCACGTCAATTTGACTGAAGCTGTATCCCGTCTAGACATGACCCCTCATGACGAGAGTGAGGATGAATTAAATGTGGTGGCAGGTGCAGTGATGACTGCTGAGAAGAAGTTGAGTGTAGAGGGAAGTAGTGAGGTGAGGAAGGTGGGCGTCAAGTGTAAAAATAGAGATACATGCTCCAGTAGTTCAGAGATGGAACTTGTTGAGAGTGAGGGTGTAGTACCTGCGGTGAGGTCCGCCGAATTCGGGCCTCGTCCCAAGGATGATAAGGATGATTTTGGCCCAGTGGGAGTGAGATTTGTAGAGAGAATGGATCCTTGCTTTTTGGTTGATCCATATGTGGTGTCAGGTTGGGTGGAGGAGAGGTTGGGTACTGTTGAGTTGGTGAAGGTAACTCGGAGTGGACTCATGATGATTTATTATGTTTCCTCCGCCCAGAGGGAGAGGGCGCTCCGGATTACGAGATTAGGGACAAGAATTGTGACGTGCTTTGCTCTCCGGAGCAGGGCGCTGTCGAAAGGAGTGATAACGGGGGTGGCATTAAGTGTTGAGGAGGAGCAGTTGAAATGGAAGATTCCCAGTGTCTGTGACGCCCACCGTTTGGTGAGCCGCAGATCTGGTGGGGAAACGGAGAAGACATTATCTGTCATGCTGAATTTTGATGCAGAGTCGTTACCAGATAAGGTCAAGGTAGGACTTGTCAGTTATCCCGTGAGAGCTTATGTTCCGAAAATATTACGGTGTTTTAGGTGTCAAGGTTATGGGCATATTAAAGCAGTGTGTAGGAGGGAGTTGCCTGGATCTGTGCAGGAGGGCATGAGAGGAAGGAATGTGTGGTATCAGTGCAGAAAGTTGTGTGTGTTAGTTGTGGGGGTGATCATGGGGCTGGAGATCGGAGGTGTCTGGTGAGAGAAAGGCAGATTGAGGTTGCCAGGGTTAGAGTAGTACAGAAAGTGTCCTATGCCAAAGTAGTGAAGAGAGTGGTAGAGGAATAATAATAATATGCCATTTAGCAGACGCTTTTATCCAAAGCGACTTACAGTCATTCGTGCATACATTTTTGTGTATGGGTGGTCCCGGGGATCGAACCCACTACCTTGGTGTTACAAGCGCCGTGCTCTACCAGCTGAGCTACAGAGGACCACAGGAAGATGGGTACAGGGTGAGGGATCCTGCGAGGATTCATGTGAGTAGGCAGAGACCAAGAGAGAGTGATGGGAAGAATATGTGCTTCAGTAAAGTGGAATTTTTAGCATTTATAGCCATGGTTGTTAATTGTTCTGCAGAAATTGATCGAAAGTCACAGAAAATAGAGGTTGTGGTGGCAGCTGCAGGGGGTGTTGAGTGGTAGTGATATGTCCTCTCAGACCGTTGGTCTGGACTAGGACTAGATAGGGTTAAATAGTGGAATGGATTTTTAGAGAGGGCTAATAGGTGATAGGGCAATTTTCCTTGTCCCCAAGTTTGTATTATTGTATCAAAGAATATAATGTAGGTAGGCCGTGAATGGCCTCACACATCAGTACAGTAGGTGGCGGTGTGTGTGCACCTAAAAGTTAGATGCGATCCGCCAACCAAATCCCAAAGAAGAAGAAGACAAGGAAATTGGTGAAAGTGTGTTCACGCTCAACCTGTTTGCACTATTTGGTGCGCCAAACAGGTCTGGTAGATGTATTAATAGGCCTACAAGTGGCGTGGCGTGTAGTGTAGGCAAAGCCAATTAAACCATAAAAAACATGTATTTATGGATCAGCTCTGGTGATACATAAGTGGATAATGCATTGCAAACGTTAAACGTTAATTTAGGCTATAGATACGGAAGCCTTGTACTGTGCAGCCACATAAACTACGTCATCCATTGAATGTATTATCTTTGTTAAATGCGATCTAACAAGAGGAAAGGTTATTTTACCATGTAGGTACAATGATATGCCTATTGAAGAGGTCACCATATTAAAAAATATATATATATTCTTTCCCCTTTTCTTCCCAATTTCGTGATATCCAATACGTTCAATGGGATGACGTAATTTAAGCGGTTGCGCAGTGCAAGACTTCCGTATCTATAGCCTTAATTAACATTACAACATATCGCTATCACAATTAGTAATTGTTAGCTAGCTAAGCACCTATAACGTGTCATATACATAAGGTCAAGAAGAAATTGATAAAATGTGGAGTAATTTGTGCTATTGGTATTGTGAACTAACCACGTAGGTAGGTAGCTAACGTTACCTACCAGTTAAACAGATGCTTTTGCTATATAAAGTTATAATTTTGGCTACAAAGACAAAGCAAGTCCCAAGTTATTGTAGTTAACTTAGCAGAAGTGTTAGTTAGATCTAGACTAGCTAACACATTTTTAAAATCATTAGGCCTGCTTTTATTTTTATCTGATATGTAAGTTAGCTACTTGAGCAACTAACGGTAGCTAGCTAGCATTGCCTAACTTCCTTAACTGGCCAGCTGAACTTATCTATAAAACATAACTATGTCGAATTCTAAATTGTCAGGAGCTAACTAGCTGAAGTAGCCTAAACGTGGCCAATTATCTAGCTAGCTACTAGTTCATATGGCTGTGAGGAGCCTGACCTTGGTCTGTTAGACAGAGATGGATCATAGCTAACCAAACATTAATCATTAGCTAGCTTGCCAACCCACCCAAGGCACATAGGTTGAGTGTTGTCCCTCCCACGATGTTAGTCCACTCAACAAATGTAGCTAGGTAGCCTAGCTTTCAGTATGTAGCAAGTAGGCCTATCTAAGTAGTGAGGAAGGTCCCTGCTATCTCAAATAAAGTGGATAGGCCTGTACTTCAGAGACCTCTTACCATTCGTTACCTGCACTCACAAGTTAGCCTATAACACACACTTCACTGCATCTTTTGTTTTGGCTACTTTATACGTAGACTACATTGTTGCTTTACACATACTTTTATATATGGATGCAGTCTAGTCGAAGGCATTTCAAGTACATTAAAGTAACAGTTCCTTAGGCAGAGAAAAAACTAGGCCTATGGAAAATGTGCAATGGGGAGGAACGTATCATCTGTTGCAACATGTCCTTTAGGTTGACTCTACTCCTTTGGAATGCACGCACCTGTCAGTGTCAATATGGGCCATTCACATCTGTATTATGATTGGTTGCTCAGCCTTTCTTTCATATTCATCGAGACCACTGTGTTTATAACCCTGCTAGTCTTGTTCCCAACCATAACATGCTCTATCACTACTCCACAGGTGCTGGTTGCCAGTTTGTGTCATCTTGTTGATGGAACTCCAAGGTATTAATATCAGTCATACGTTATGTTGTTGTTTGTTCTGATTCTGCATGTGCAAAACGGCATATTGATGTCTGTGTCAGATGGATTCATTGGAGGCTAATTTTGATATCTGTGTTTTGTAGTCTCTTCACAGGCGAGAGTTGAAGGTTTACAAGAGGGAAGGTTATTTTACCATATAGGTACAATGTGATGCCTATTGAAGAGGTCACCATATTTTGGCGATACAAGGATGACCGTAATGTCTACAATATTGTCAGTGGAAAAGCAGACTTGACAGACGAAGACTGTCAGTTCAGAGACAGAACCAGGATGTTCCCTGAGGAATGGGCAAACGGCAACTTCTCTCTCCTACTGACTGATCTCAAGGACATCGATAGTGGGAGTTATTCATGTTTCATACCAACAATGAACATTCTTCGTCAAGTGGAATTTTCTGTTCAAGGTTTGCGTTACAACCAAGTTTAACATACAATTAATTGAGAATGGTCATGATTCAGCCTTAGCTTATCTATACAGTATTGGACTTTCCATTAACAGTTTTAAGAAGTTGATGAAACAGTATGATAACTCTAAGAAAAATGCATTGTTATTTCTTGAACTGCGTTGTTGGTTAAGGGCTTGTAAGTAAACATTTCACGGTAACATCTACACCTGTTGTATTCGGCGCATGTGACAAAGAGAATTTGGTTTGATTTGATTTGAAATGTCCCTCTTTATTTTACAGAGAAACCAACTCCTGAGCCTAAAGTTGATCACAGGAGCAGCAGCATGAGTATCAGAGAGCTGAACCAGAGCCTCTTCCTGTTTCTCCTCCTCAGTCCAACTCTCCACTTCCTTTGACTTACAGCACAGAAATTGGTCTTTGTGCCACTTATGAGACTGTTGACAAGTTCTGAGTGTTCAAACTGCTGAAATACTAATTATTTTTGGAATGTATGTAATAAGATGAGTTATTAATATTGCACTACCAAATCACAGAAGTTTTGTTGAGAACTTGAGATTGAACATTTGCTGCACAGTAAAAATATTATTTCAGTCAGCCTTTCAATTAGAAAGTATTTGACTTTAACACCACAGTGTTATGAAAGGGAACATATTCACTTCCTCAATGCTCTTTATTGAAGAGTGTTTCTTTTAGCTTTTTGCAAACTATGGTTTGATCATGTGATTCCACAGTGTGTTCAGACAGATGTCTGTGTTAGGAGGAAGTCAGTTCAGACTCAGATTAATCACAGCTCTGAAGATGTCGAGGATTGTTGCCTGTCTGTTCTGTAAGACCATTTATTTTTCTTATCTTATTTATTTTACATTCATTTTACAATAAATGAAGTGTCTTATGGATTCTTCTGTTCATAGGTGTCTTAAAACTGTGTGTTGGAGCTGAGGCTTTGACAGAGACACTGGTAGAACTTGGACACAATGCAACTCTGAACTGTTCTCTTAATGGAACTAATGTACACTGGTACATACAGCACCAACTACAGCCTCCACTGGCCATACTCCGCTCTTTCACTAGTAGTAGTCCTGCTGCTTTTTATTACAATCATAATTTTAGACAGAAATATTCATTAGAAACAGGAAATAGATTGTTAATACAGAATGTAACAGTAGATGAGAATGGAGTGTACTACTGTGCAAAGAAAGAAAACGATAGTCTCCTATTCAGCAACGGCACCAGATTCATGACCACTGGTAAGTGTACATTTCATTCAATGATCAACATAATATATTTTGTCTAAAATATATTTTTGCAGCGAGGTGCAAGACCACTATTGAAATGTTACATCCACTTTGAGTAACATATACAGTGGCTTGCGAAAGTATTCACCCCCTTGGCATTTTTCCTATTTTGTTGCCTTACAACCTGGAATGAAAGTGGATTTGGGGGGGGTTGTATAATTTCATTTACACAACATTCCTACAACGTTGAAGATGCAAATATTTTTTTATTGTGAAACAAACAAGATGTAAGACATAAAAACAGAACTTGAGCGTGCTAAATGACAAAAATGTAAATGTGCATAACTATTCGTTGTAGAGCCACCTTTTGCATCAATTACAGCTGCAAGTCTTTTGGGGTATGTCTCTATAAGCTTGGCATATCTAGCCACTGGGATTTTTGCCCATTCGCCAAGGCAAAACTGCTCCAGCTCCTTCAAGTTGGATGGGTTCCGCTGGTGTACAGCAATCTTTAATTCATACCACAGATTCTCAATTGGATTGAGGTCTGGGCTTTGACTAGGCCATTCCAAGACATATAAATGTTTCCCCTTAAACCACTCGAGTGTTGCTTTAGCAGTATGCTTAGGGTCATTGTCCTGCTGGAAGGTGAACCTCCGTCCCAGTCTCAAATCTCTGGAAGACTGAAACAGGTTTCCCTAAAGAATTTCCCTATATTTTGCGCCATCCATCATTCCTTCGATTCTGACCAGTTTCCCAGTCCCTGCCGATGAAAAACATCCCCACAGCATGATGCTGCCACCACCATGCTTCACTGTGGGGATGGTGTTCTCGGGGTGATGAAAGGTGTTGGATTTGTGCCAGACATAGCGTTTTCCTTGATGGCCAAAAAGCTCAATTTTAGTCTCATCTGACCAGAGTACCTTCTTCCATATGTTTGGGGAGTCTCCCAAATGCCTTTTGGTGAACACCAAACGTGTTTGCTTATTTATTTTTTAAGCAATGTTTATTTTTTCGGGCAACTCTTCTGTAAAGCCCAGCTCTGTGGAGTGTACGGCTTAAAGTGGTCCTATGGACAGATACTCCATTCTCTGCTGTGGAGCTTTGCAGCTCCTTCAGGGTTATCTTTGGTCTCTTCGTTGCCTCTGATTAATGCCCTCCTTGCCAGGTCCATGAGTTTTGGTGGGCGGCCCTCTCTTGGCAGGTTTGTTGTGGTGCCATATTCTTTCAATTTGTTTTATTTAATGGTGCTCTGTGGGATGTTCAAAGTTTCAGATATTTTTTTCTTCATGGTGCCGCTTGCTTGATGGTGCCCCTTGCTTAGTGGTGTTGCATACTCTGGGGCCTTTCAGAACAGGTGTATATATTTACTGAGATCATGTGACAGATCATGTGACACTTAGATTGCACACAGGTGGACTTTATTTAACTAATTATGTCACTTCTGAAGGTAATTGGTTACACCAGATCTTATTTAGGGGCTTCATAGCAAAGGGAGTGAATACATATGCACGCACCACTTTTCCATTATTTATTTTTTAGAATTCTTTGGAATAAGTGATTTTTTTCATTTCACTTCACCAATTTGGACTATTTTGTGTATGTCCGTTACATGAAATCCAAATAAAAATCCATTTAAATTACAGGTTGTAATGCAACAAAATAGGAAAAACGCCAAGGGGGATAAATACTTTAGCAAGGCACTGTAACTCAAAGTGGATGTAGGCTATACATATTTACCATAACCCTGTTGGACTTGAATCAATCAATGAAACAACAAACACAAGTTTTAAGTTTTGTAAGTGATTGTGTTTGTAATTTTTCAACTGATTTAATAGTGACTTTAATAGCATATTGTGCAAATGTACGCTATCATATTTTGTGACCATTTTTGACAATTTCATTTGATCCTGAAGCCTCAGAGCAACCCAGAAACTTCAACGCAACGTGGCTAAAAGGTCTTCTCATTGGATCCGGGGTCTTGAATGCAGTTCTCATTTTATTGGCGTCAGGTGTGTTTTACACTCTTAAAATAGGGTTTGTTAGTAACTAGTAACAACTGGGTGGTACTGTGTGGTTCAGTTGGTAGAGCATGGCACTTGCATCCCCAGGGTTGTGGGTTTGATTCCCGGTGCCACCCATACGTAAAATGTATTCACTCATGACTGTAAGTCGCTTTGGTTAAAAGTGTCTGCTAAATGGCATATTATTATATTTTTTATCTTACTAAAACTTTTCTTTAGACTGGGTACCAGGCTAACCTTTCCTGCCTTTACATGCTATGTCAGGACTATCTTTTCCTGTACTTTTGTCTGCATGCAGACCCAAAACCCACTGCAATATGTAAGATGTTACTCAGTGATGTGTGATCACAATAGTCTATACTAATTCCATCTATATGGGTAATCTTAACCATTTTAGTGCTGTGGAAGAGAGCTGCTTGCCAGAAGAATCCTGACTCTCCTCCAACCACTGAACCTCCTGAAAGGGCAGACGGGCCAGAGGTCAGTATCTGTAGTGGGAAGATGGATGTACAGTACCAGTCAAAAGTTTGGACACACCTACTCGTTCAAGGGTTTTTCTTTATTTTTTTTACTGTTTTCTACATTGTAGAATAATAGTGAAGACATCAAAACTATGAAATAACACATATGGAATCATTTGAGATTCTTCAAAGTAGCCACCCTTTGCCTTGATGACATTTTATCTATAATTTATCATCTTATCTTCACATGACAAGGATTAAAAAGGATTTGCCAGTAGATTGTCGACTTGATTCATGATGATGACTCATAGCTAAGATTTTGAAAGTATGATGTTGACATGATCAGTCCAATCAAAGCTACTGTTTTTTCATAGTTTTGATGTCTTCACTATTATTCTACAATGTATAAAATAGTACAAATAAAGGAAAACCCTTGAATGAGTAGGTGTGTCCAAACTTTTGACTGGTACTGTACATACAGTATATGAATATTATACCATGTCTATCTTTATGAGGGATGTTTTCACTCATATCCACATTGTTTTTCAGTATTGCGTGATACAGTTGGTACCCCCACTGGGAGGACCAAGGCCAGACCGCATAGCCTCAACTATTTACTCCAGAGTCCAGTTTCCAAATCCTGAACTCACAACTCCTGCTTAATAAGGTGCCAAATCTGTATCTACCCTTCCTCTTCAGTCTGGGTTTAACATATCTGGGCTATTATGATAATAGTTGTGACTTTGGTGGATAATCTGAACTACAATATGACTTTGGTAGATAATGTTAATCAACTGTGAATATTCATATCTTTGTATACAGTATCTAATGCTGCTCTTTGTCACTATGGTCTTTATACCAGTCAGCAATATCTTTCAAGGAAATTGTTACTTTTGTGTCTTGATTCATGTTTTTCATTGTTCATTGCTGGAAATAAGTTTTCATTTGTGCCTGTCTTGAAAGTAAATTGTAAGTGAGGAAGAGGTTTGTGTAAGTGAGGAAGAGGTTTGTGTATTTCAGCCTTTTGCATTGTTTTGATGCTGCATCAACCACACAGTGGTTTGTATATTTTAGTTGTTTAAGTTAAGACCACTGTAAGAAAGGCCTCACAACCGTAGATCACAAGTAACCACGCCAGCCCATGACCTTCATATCTGGCTTATTCAACTGCGGGATCGTCGTCTGAGGAGGGCGGGGGGGTTATGAGGAGTATTTCTGTCTCTAATAAAGCCCCTTTGTGGGGAAAAACTAATTGATTGGCTGGGCCAGGCTCCCCAGTGGGTGGACCTGGCTCCCAAGTGGGTGGGCCTATGCCCTCCCATGCCCACCCATGGCTGTGCCCCTGCCCAGTCATGTGAAATCCATATGTAGATTAGTGCCTAATTAATTTATTTCAATTGACTGATTTCCTTCTATGAATTGTAACTCAGTACAATTTTAGAAATTGCTCCATGTTGCGTTTATATTTTTGTTCAGTATATAAAAGTCTAAAAATGGATGTAGAAACTAAGGATTCTAGCTTTAATACCAGATAGAGGGGCCTTTTTCAATAGAATTTCCTGCTCTGTATATTGTTACCTTTGACCTTCTGCATAATGAGAATTTGGTCGTTAAGCAAGAGACGAATTGATGCTCACCACTTCCTCTTCACACTTTGCACAGACTTGTGCTTCATGTGGAAACTTTAAGCAAGTTAACAATGACCTTACACGTCATTATGTTTGTGTTTTATCATCACTTTTAGAATAAGGCTGTAACGTAACAAAATGTGGAAAAAGTCAAGGGGTCTGAATACTTTCCGAATGCACTGTACCACATTGGCTGTGCAGTACATCTGTTTTGTTTTCCCCAGAGGTTTATGCTGAGAACTGTGTTCTCTCCATTTACAGTGTTCTGAATGCTATTCTGATCGTTATGATCCTGGGTGAGTAAATGGAAATACTAGATATTATCAAAATGTAAACGTTTTAAATAGTTTAACATTTTAATGTTGTATTCTGAGAATGTAGATGTCACTTGTGTAATGTTGATATAGAATTTTTCCTATGTTGTTGGTTTATATTTCAGTACGTATCGTGATCTTGGCATGTCAGAACAGAAACTGTCTTTCAAAACTAAGACCACCTCAAACAAAACAAACACCTTAAGTCATGTGACAATGGCAGAGTGAACATATGACTAAAATACTCTAGTGAATATGCCTGTATCCTATCACCCCTTTTTACCGCTAGTCAAAAATTAGGAAATACATGTGTTTCTTCATTTCCCCCTACTTTGACATTTATTTGTACTTTACTCAAATGCATGATGTAGGCCTAGTGTGTTACTGGATACATGAAGGGTCAATCCATTAGTGTAACTATCTTCTAGTAAAATGTCATGATTACAGTATTCAGCTGCTGAACTTCCTTTTTGTTCTAAAGCTGTGACTTCAGTGGAAATTGCCAATGAAATTGCGGTAAGGTTCACAGGAACAAAAGAAATGTATGACTCATGGTCCACTCAGTTGAAGTAGAGCTTTTTAGTTACGAGAAAGCTCTTGCACAGTGGAAAATACCACACACCACCACACGCAAAAATAGCACATGTAATTGGTGATTGGTTACGCCGTTATAACAGTAGTTGTTCCTGTGATGCTTGTGCAATAGTTTGTCTAGCACAGGGGTGTCAAACTCATTTTAGCTCAGGGGCCACATGGAGGAAAATCTATTCCCAAGTGGGCCGGACCGGAAAAATCATGGTACATATAACTTAAAAACAACAACTTCAGATTGTTTTCTTTGTTTTAATACGATCAACATACAACATAAAGCTGGAGCCTGAGGACAGTGTGTCCAAAATAGTACAAGCACAACATCACTATTAATCATAAAACACGTTAAGTTTATTTGAAAATTCTAAAGAAAAAGAACACACAAACACACAATGCCTCAGTGATTAACAGAACTGTTTCACAGATCACAGAACTATATCAGGGTGTCATTTCTCAGGCAGAAATGTAGATAAAAATAATGAAATCCTGTTCCCCAAACAAGTGCAAGAACCACAGAGTCAAGAATAGGTTAAATATACAAATAAAATAAAATCTATTAAAAACAATAGCACATCAACATAAAAACATATAAACATAAAGCTGGAGCCTGAGGACAGTGTCCAAAAGCACAACATAACTATTAATCATAAAACACCTCAAGTTATTTGAAAGTTCTGAGGACAAAGAACACACAAACACACAATGCCTCAGTGATTCACAGAAGTATATCACAGATCACAGAACTATATCAGGGTGTCATTTCTCAGGCAGAAATGTAGATAAAAATAATGAAATCCTGTTCCCCAAACAAGTGCAAGAACCACAGAGTCAAGAATAGGTTAAATATACAAATAAAATAAAATAAATTAAAAACAATAGCACATCAACATAAAAACATATAAACATAAATCTGAAAGCGTTGCTCAAACTCCCGTAACAGTCCCGTTATTTTATCTTTGAACCGCTTCATGTCTGCCACATGTTGGGTCGCGCACACATTTTTCAGACAGGGGAAGTGAGCTGCATCACCACCGGCAAGTTGCGTCTCCCACAATGACAGCTTCAACTTGAAAGAACGTATAATGTCATAATACTGCGTGACAACTTTGTTGCGCCCTTGCAGCTGTTTGTTCAAGTTATTCAGGTGCTCTGTAACATCCACCATAAATGCAAGGTCCTGCATCCATTCTGCGGAATGAAATTCTAACACTGGTTTGCCCTTTTCTTCCATGAACTGTTCAATTTCTTCTCGTAAATCAAAGAAACGCCTCAGCACAGCACCTCGGCTTAACCATCTTACCTCAGTGTGGTATGGCAGGCCATAGATGTGGTCTTTCTCTCTGAGAAGGCTGTCAAACTAACGGTGATTCAGGCTTCTGGATCGGATGAAATTAACAGTTTGGATGACCACCTTCATGACGTTATCCATCTTTAATGACTTGCAACACAAAGCCTCCTGGTGCAAAATACAGTGAAAAGTCAAAAAATCACGTCCTCCATTTGCAGATTGCACTTTCTCTCTGAACTTTGTCACAATGCCTGCTTTTTTCCCGATCATTGAGGGCGCACCATCTGTAGCCAGGCTGACAGGGCGGGACCAGTCCACTCCGACCCTGTCCAGCGCGCCGACGAGTGCGGTAAAAATATCAACTGCTGTCGTTGTATCTGTCATCGGCACCAACTCCACGAACTCCTCGGTGACGGTCAATGTGTCATCAACTCCGCGGATGAAAAAATGGCCAGTTGTGCAACATCTGTAATGTCCGTGCTTTCATCAATTGCAACCGAAAACGCAATAAATGACTTTACTTTTTGCTTCAACTGGCTGTCCAAATCCACTGAAAGATCGGAAATCCTGTCTGCAACTGTGTTTCTTGTCAGGCTGATATTTGCAAAAGCCTGCCGCTTTTCAGGGCACACAATCTCCGCTGCCTTCATCATGCATGTTTTTACAAATTCACCCTCAGTAAATGGTTTTGAAGCCACTGCGATTTCATTAGCAATGAGGTAGCTAGCTTTCACTGCAGCGTCACTGATGTCTCGGCTGTGAGTAAACACAGACTGCTGTTTCTTCAGACCCACCAACAGTTCATTCACCTTCTCTCATCTCCGCTGTCCTTGAAAGTTGTCATATTTGTCTGCATGAAGACTCACATAGTGGCGACGAAGGTTATATTCTTTCAGCACTGCAACATGCTCTGAACACACCAAACATACAGCTTTCCCATTCAATTCCGTGATTAAATAGGATGACCATTTTTCTTGGAACACTCTGCACTCTGCGTTCACTTTTCTCTTTTTTGACAGAGACATATTGGGGCAATGAGGGTGCCAAAGCACATAATGTTAAAAGTAGAAGCCGTAATAAATATTGCGGGCAAAACAAAGTAGCTCATTGGCTGCACGTGCTTGACCTACTTGCTCTGCCCCGGTATAAACAGTTTGCTTGCTTAACACAATTGCTATTGCGCCATCCAGTGGACGCAATTGGAACAGCAGTTTATTGAAAAATTGCAGCACATTTTTATACTTAAGAAAAAAACTTTTTTTTAAATTTTTATTTTTTTCAAAATCATCTCGCGGGCCGGATTAAACCCGTTTGCGGGCCTGATGCGGCCCGCGGCCGTACGTTTGACACCCCTGGTCTAGCAAAAGGTTGTCTGTTGGAATGCACATCATAATGAATGGTTTCACGGGAACAATTACCCTGTCCTAACAAAGTTGTCTTAAACCAAAACAACATAGGCCTACATTTTAGATATGAACACTATAAGATGTGTTTCCTGTGTAGAGTAAGTAATGCACAATGATTTAGCATAGTTTGTGGACAATTAATGCAATGTTCACAAAACTCCTCAAATGGTCCGTCCTTGATGACACTTCAGTTACCCAGTGTTATGGCAGGGTAAAGTGACACAATGCCTGATGCTATGGGGTCTGCATAGTCTTGAAAACCGACCCTAGGCAACACAGTGACTATGGTCTGGTTTCAATGATGGACTCTTTTGACATAGAGGAACTATCTCACTGCGGGTTTAGAGACTAGTGTCTACATATCAGGGAAATGGCTCCATCTACAGGGACTCTACTGGGCTTCCAAATACCCCCTGTGACATCATCCTCTCAGGCTCTTATACACAGTCTTAGAGTAGGAGTGCTGATCTAGGATCAGGTCCCCCTGTCCATGTGAGCTTGTCCATTATGATCTAAAGCTTACAACTGATCCTTGATCAGCACCCCTACTGAGATGCTTTATGAATATGGGCCCAGCTAGGGCCCTTGTACCAGTCCAGAGACTGACTCTGTAACTCCATAACAGATACATTAATAGGCTTACATTACTATTTAACTAAATGTTATTTATATAGCACATTTTGTTTTAACAAAAAATGCAGTTCAAAGTGCTTAAAAACAATATGTTTTCAAAATGGAGTGCTTTGCTGTTTAGGGAATATAATCATGTAATGTTTAGCATACATATACAGGTAATATGTCATTTGTAGTTTACGTTAAACAATATTCCTTTAATATAAGTTATAAGGGTACAATATGACACAATATACGGTTCACAATAACATTTTGGTTATCCAGCAAGAGAGTTCTCTCTTGGTTTATTAACATTCTTGAAAGGCTGTCTCCCCTACGGAACCCAGACATCCATTTCTTCTACAACCACTTGGTTCTGTTCTAGGTCCTCAAACTGAGTCAGGAGTTCCTTCTGGACGATGGAGATGGTTTTGTAGCTGAACAACGACGGAGGATCGACATCCACTGGTTGTAGTTTGATCTTCAGGATGTCTTTAACGGGGGAGTTCTTCTTCTGATGCTCGGTAGTGTTATTGAATTTGGTCATCAGGTGCTGTAGTGACCGTTAGCTGTCATGGTCAATGAGGAAAGCAAAGGTCCTGTTGCATGATCCTTGGCAGGACCTCAGTTTGATGTCAATGTCCACCTAGGGTACAGAGAAACACAGCGTAAACAGAGGCACCCGCACCCTATTCCCTACATAGTACACTAGTTTTGGCCACCTATGCACGACATTTTGGACGTAGCCAGACATTAATGTCTGAAACACAGAGAAACAGACAATGCATCGAAAATGGCACCCTATTCACTAAATAGTGCACTGCTTTTGACCAGGGTCCAAAAAAACCAGTAGGTTGCTAAACTGATTGAGAGCACTGGATAAAGAGTGACTAACCCAGGGTATGTGTCTGAAATGCTGATCTGGCCACAGCCTACTGTATTTGTAATAGTTTCTGTAATTGACAGTTGATAGACGGATCGCATGATAGCGCACTCGTAATTTGAATAATGTATGTTATAAAATGCTTAAATAGAGATTGACAATACCTAGGCTAATCATCTCCCTGCATGTTCATATAAACCAAGGAAGAAGCAGATCAGCAGCAGTGTGAGTGTGTGTTCTCAAAACATGCGGAGGGCAGATCATTTTTTCCTACCCTCTCTCCGATTGTTAAGTATTATGCACATTGATAGCTTGCTATCAAACAGACAGTACAGATGTGGGATCTTAATTTGATCACGTTTATGTTGCTAAAGTTTGTCATTTCCACTTTAAAATGTCAGACTTGATTTGCCCTGACGAAAAATGTATCAACCCCGACAAAAAATGTCCATGAATTTGAATCCACATGCTGCAGGATTATTTTCCTGCTGTAGCAAACTGGCTCACATTAAGATCCTACATCTGTATCTAAATCAGGGTTGTTCAATGTCGGTCCTGGAGGGCCGAAACACTTCTGTTTTTCATCCTCTCCTTTGAATCAGGGACTAATTCAGACCTGAGACACAAGGTGAGTGCAATTAACAGCTCTGATCTAAATGGTTGGACTGTCGGAGCAAAACACGGGAGGAGAAGAGACCGGTGAAAATCAAGCAAACAGAGTGTACATAGCCATTGGTTCACCCAAGTGAGCGTCGTCCCAAACGAGGGTCATGTTTTCACTGTGCCGTAAGCAAGCGTGACTAGGTCTCCAGGCTAAATTAAACGTACCGAGTTTCTTTACTCCCTACCCATTTCAGATATAAAAAAAGACGGAATAAAGAAGATGGTGGGGTGAAGAACACAGGGTTGTTGTTTCATATTAGAAGAATGACAGAAACACAGACACAGAGTAGACAGTGGGCTGTGTCTGAAATGGCTCTCTATTACCTGTATAGTGCACTTTTGTTGTAGTGCGCCCTTATGGGCTCTGGTCAAAAGTAATGCACCATCTAGGGAATATGGTGGAATTTTGGACACGGACAGACATCAATGTCCACCTGAATTACAGAGAAACAGTTAGGAGAGTAAACAGATAGTATTTGACCAAAGCTTACAGTTTAACTCTGAAGTAAACACTAAAGGGCCTTGACTGGTGGGATGTGGTTGGAGAAGATCATGTTTGTCACTTCAGTCAAAGTTTAGTGTTGCAAAGTTTTACTCCCCAGCGTGTTCTGAAACTCAGGACTATCTATTACAATAAATACAAGGGCTGTGTTCCAATAGGTTAGATATCCACTATCCTCCTCACCTCACTCCTTTCTTCGTCTCCTTTCCTCGTCTGCTTTCCTCATCACCTTTCCTACTATCAGCTCATTTCCTCATCTCATTTCATATCATTTCCTCATCTCATCTCCTTTCCTCATCTCATATCCTTTCCTCATTTCATATCCTTTCCTCATTTCATCTCCTTTCCTCATTTCATCTCCTTTCCTCATCTCCTTTCCGCGTCTCAGCTCATTTCCTTATCTCCTTTCCTTCATGACCACTGAAAGGAATGACATGATGAAAACCTATGCCTTGATCTGAACTTTCCCAGACACAGATTGAGCCTTGTCCTGGACACAAAAGGATGCTCAATGGAGAATCTCTATTGAAAGTGCTTAGTCCAGGATTATGCTTAATCTGTGTCCAGGAAACAAACTGTCCCGCAACCAAATCTTGCTTAGGTCCCCAAAAAAGCTAGGACCGGCCCTGATGATTGGTCTGACTTAGACCTCTGGCAACCTTAAAAAACAAACAAACAAAAAAGTGTTTTGTCCGTACAGCAGCAAAGAGCGCTCAAACAGATAGCTGCTACACAAACAGGACACCAACCCAATCGACAACACACATTTGAGAAGATGTTGAGAGTTCTGGGACATCTGTTGTGTAAGATGATTGTTTTGTTACTACATGTACTTAATAACTTAAGAAACAAATCAAATGTGTAAAGACCTGTTTTGTTTCTAGGTCTCTTTATATGCTGTTGGGGAGCTGGTGGCTTGACAGAGACACTGGTGGAACTTGGACAGAATGCAACCATAAACTGTTCTCTTAACATAGAAAGTGCATACTGGTACATACAGCACCAACCACAGCCTCCACTGGCCATACTCCGCTCTTTCACTAGTAGTCGTCCTGCTGCTTTTTATTACAATAATCATTTTAAACAGAAATATTCTTTACTAACAGAATATAGATTGTTCATACAGAATGTAACAGTAGATGATTGTGGAGTGTTCTACTGTGCAAAGAAAGAAGAGGGCAGATTGATATTCAGCAACGGCACCAGACTCATGATCACTGGTGAGTGCACGTTTTATTCAATGATAAATACCTTTCAATGTAACATCAATCTTTATTGAAATACATCATATTTTGAGTATGTACACTCTCAAATGTATCCAGTCCCAACATTGCATGTGTGATGCACTGTACACCGACTTCATGTACTTTAATTGTAAAGTGGCATTGTGTGGATATCACTACATTTACATTTAATATAGTGATATAGTGATTTTTCCATGTGCATTATTGCACAGAGGTTTATGCTGACTATCCCAATCAGACAAACCAGACATCCAGTTATCCAAACCAGACATCCAGTTATCCAAACCAGACATCCAGCTATCCAAACCAGACATCCAGCTATCCAAACCAGACATCCAGCTATCCAAACCAGACATCCAGCTATCCAAACCAGACATCCAGCTATCCAAACAAGACATCCAACTGCAGGTCATCATGGGAGAACTGTCTTCTATCTATTTACAGTGTTCTGAATGCTATTCTGATGGTTATGATCCTGGGTGAGTAAATGGAAATACCAGATTTGAAATAGTTTAACATTTTATTGTCGTTTACGGAGAATTGACATATTGCTTATGTTGATCAACATGATATTGACTTTTCCTATTTTGTTGGTTTATATTTCAGTACTAATCTTGACCTTGCCATGTCAGAACAAAAACTCTCCTTCAAAACTAACACCAAGACGCCGAGTAGACCAGAGGTAAGTTACTTTTTGTAAAGCTCCTGAACAGTTGCATCAGTCTCACCTAATTTGGACCACACATTTAGCTTCAAGCTGCAATATGTAACTTTTTGGGCTACGCAACCAAAATCACATAGTAATGTGAGTTATAGATCTGTCATTATCTTTGAAAGCAAGTCTAAGAAGAGGTAGATCTGTTCTATGTGCGTTATTTCTATGCTTCCCGTTCTTAAGTTTTGTTTTTGCGTCTTTTACTTTGTTTTGTACACCAGCTTCAAACAGCTGAAAATACAATGTTTTTGGTTATGGAAAATATATTTCACAGTGGTTTAGATGGTACAAAGATTCTCTACACAATGACTGCTTGTTTTGTCACAGAAACTGAAATTAGGCGAACTATTAGAATTTTAGCAACCATAGTGCAACTTTAACAGTATAACATGTGCTGAAAAGCATATCAATATATCATAACATAACTCTGATTGCATGCATGTTTAAAAAAAAATTAAAAAAATATCCAGAAGTCAGTGACACAGCACCGTTTTGCAGTATAATGCATGATCCACAAGCGCAAGCTAACAACTATGCTTAGAATTACTTACTGTTAAATGATGGTAGACATGTGACATTGTTACAGTGATGACTAAAAGAGTCTCGTGAATATGCCTGTCACCCTTTTCACTGCTAGTCAGTAATTATATTGTTTCTTAATGTTCCACTACTTTGCCATGAGTTGTACTTTACTTAAATGCAATGATGTAGTGTGTCCTTTTCTACATGAAGGGTCAATCCAGTTCTATTGTAACTATCTTCTATTCAGACATCCCTCAAAACCAACCGGTTAGGAGTGCTGGAAACAAGCAAACTTTATTCAGGGATTTCAGGTGAGGCAGTGGTCAAAGTCTCTGCAAGGTCTCTTTAACATTTCAAGAACCACATTAATATTATATACAGGTCATATAATCTGTGCAAACCTGCACTTGTCTTTTTATTCTTATGTGGCGTCATCACTTACAATAATACACAGTACTACACAATTTGACTGGGTACGTTTTAACTGGTTGAACAGTACCATCTACTGAAAATAGTAAGCACTGCATGTGTTCCCACACTGCATCCCGGCTACCCAACAAAATAACAAATAGTCCAGGTGATATGTGCCAAATCTTAAGTGAATGGTTCACTTTTTCATGAAATAATAAAACTTGGTAAGTCTACACTTGTACAGTTTGGGGTCCTGAACATTTTCAGATGTGGAGCCATCACAAAAACTCCTCCTGGCAGTCATGGCGGACATTTTTCTATTCTGCCATACTGGAGTATCCTTTAGGGGTTCTTCAAATTGAAACTGTGGGCGAACCCCTTTAAGTTCTTCAAAGAACCCCTTTTAATGGATCCTCGATTAACCTTTTGAATAATATTTTGGGGTTCATTTTTGAACTACCCCCCCCTATTATTATTATTAATAATAATAATATACATAACAAAAACAACAATAACACAATATTTTAGTTGTCAGTGTTTATTATTATTTTAGTGGCAAAGCAGAATAAAAAAATCTAAATATGAGGTAAACTCCCAGCAGAGCCCAAAGTATAATGGGTATATCCTCTGGCGTGTTGATGTTAGTGTTGATGTTCTCCATATCCATAGCCAGAATGATTTTTCAGTGCATGGTGATCGAACAGGTTTTCTGTTATATTCATCAGAGGTGTAGGGAGGGTGAAGTCTGTGAATCCAAAAAAATTTCATTATACAGACGATTAACAAAACATGCACACAACAGTATTTATACCTTGATTATTGAGGTAAATGTGAATGAAAGAAACTACACTGCTCAAAAAAATAAAGGGAACACTTAAACAACACATTGTAACTCCAAGTCAATCACACTTCTGTGAAATCAAACTGTCCACTTAGGAATCAACACTGATTGACAATAAATTTCACATGCTGTTGTGCAAATGGAATAGACAACAGGTGGAAATTATAGGCAATTAGCAAGACACCCCCAATAAAGGACTGGTTTTGCAGGTGGTGACCACAGACCACTTCTCAGTTCCTATGCTTCCTGGCTGATGTTTTGGTCACTTTTGAATGCTGGCGGTGCTTTCACTCTAGTGGTAGCATGAGACGGAGTCTACAACCCACACAAGTGGCTCAGGTAGTGCAGCTCATCCAGGATGGCACATCAATGCGAGCTGTGGCAAGAAGGTTTGCTGTGTCTGTCAGCGTAGTGTCCAGAGCATGGAGGCGCTACCAGGAGACAGGCCAGTACATCAGGAGACGTGGAGGAGGCCGTAGGAGGGCTACAACCCAGCAGCAGGACTTCTACCTCCGCCTTTGTGCAAGGAGGAGCAGGAGGAGCACTGCCAGAGCCCTGCAAAATGACCTCCAGCAGGCCACAAATGTGCATGTGTCCGCTCAAACGGTCAGAAACAGACTCCATGAGGGTGGTATGAGGGCCCGACGTCCACAGGTGGGGGTTGTGCTTACAGCCCAACACCGTGCAGGATGTTTGGCATTTGCCAGAGAACACCAAGATTGGCAAATTCGCCACTGGCGCCCTGTGCTCTTCACAGATGAAAGCAGGTTCACACTGAGCACATGTGACAGACGTGACAGAGTCTGGAGACGCCGTGGAGAACGTTCTGCTGCCTGCAACATCCTCCAGCATGACCGGTTTGGCGGTGGGTCAGTCATGGTGTGGGGTGGCATTTCTTTGGGGGGCCGCACAGCCCTCCATGTGCTCGCCAGAGGTAGCCTGACTGCCATTAGGTACCGAGATGAGATCCTCAGACCCCTTGTGAGACCATATGCTGGTGCGGTTGGCCCTGGGTTCCTCCTAATGCAAAACAATGCTAGACCTCATGTGGCTGGAGTGTGTCAGCAGTTCCTGCAAGAGGAAGGCATTGATGCTATGGACTGGCCCGCCCGTTCCCCAGACCTGAATCCAATTGAGCACATCTGGGACATCATGTCTCGCTCCATCCACCAATGCCACGTTGCACCACAGACTGTCCAGGAGTTGGCGGATGCTTTAGTCCAGGTCTGGGAGGAGATCCCTCAGGAGACCATGCGCCACCTCATCAGGAGCATGCCCAGGCGTTATAGGGAGGTCATACAGGCACGTGGAGGCCACACACACTACTGAGCCTCATTTTGACTTGTTTTAAGGACATTACATCAAAGTTGGATCAGCCTGTAGTGTGGTTTTCCACTTTAATTTTGAGGGTGACTCCAAATCCAGACCTCCATGGGTTGATAAATTTGATTTCCATTGATAATTGTTGTGTGATTCTGTTGTCAGCACATTCAACTATGTAAAGAAAAAAGTATTTAATAAGATTATTTCATTCATTCAGATCTAGGATGTGTTATTTTAGTGTTCCCTTTATTTTTTTGAGCAGTGCATTTTGATAATGATTTTCATATACATACCATAATGTAGAGGCCTATGGGATATTCATTGAAGAGGTAAGGGAGGAGGATGGTACATGTGATCTGCATAACATAACATACCAATACCAATTGACATACCTTTGTATGCCTCCTCGTCTGTATACCTGCAGACACAAAAGTGAGCAGTTCAGTCATCTGCACCCAATACAGCTAGCCTTCAACATATTCTTATAGCCTACATATTCTTACCTCTTTCTTGATTAATATCCATTGAATTGTGTACATTTTCTGTTTCACAAAGATTTGCACAATATGAAAAGATAGATAGTATCATCATAAAACAATATCAATTTAGATCATACAGGGGACAAACCTTACCTTTAAATTGAGGATATCTTTAAATTGTTCAGTTAAGTGCCTGCACCTGCTGTCCTTTCAAATTAAAATCAAAATGTTTCAGTTGGGCAGTTAGGTTCCTGCAAGAACCCCCACCTACTAAGGAGGTTCCTCGATGAACCCCACCTCCTATGGGGTTCTTGGAAGAAACTTTTGGGGGCAACTTTCAGTGCCAAGAACTCTAAGGTTCTTTGAAGAACTTTGAGGATCTTAGATAAACCCTTGTTGAACCCCTAATGTTTAAAGTGTAGCCTGCATTGACAGGCACAAGCGGCCTTTCAATCATGCAGTCATGAGATCTGTTTTTTAGATTAAAGCGAGTCTAGCCGTGTGTACACATGTGTTGATATTAATTGTTAGTTAGTGACTTATTTGGCCAGTTATAGCCCATTTTGGGTCATCAATGAAAATCCTGGAGAAGTCATGGTGTGTGTCAGTGGGCCGTAGCCAGAGGAGAGAGAGAGAGAGAGAGAGAGACATTTGCCCAGCAGGTAAAATAATGATATACAACAGACTAACTAGACATATTGTGTAGTTTGGCTGGTTATCTAGCTAGTTAACTATTAGTATGTATTAATGTCATTTTCATGTCCGATGTCCTAAAATAACTTTCCACCGGCTCTGGTGTATAACCGCAACTGGCATGCATGCAGTTGATACTGGTGCACAGTTGATGAAACCAATGCTGCATACTCCGGTTGAAAAACCATCTCTCAAGCGCAAAGAAATGGCTAGGATTCTTCTCTATTCAATACTGGCCATGTAATTATTACAAAGTTTTAAAAATATTCTTAGAAAAGCCTAATTGACAAGTAACTCCTATGCTGTCAAGCTCTCCCCTGAACGCGGAATATTTTAACCTTACAAATAGATAAACATCTTAGTTGGCTACATCGCCCACCTTGAATAGAGGTTTAAAAAGCTGTTGATTGTTTGAATGTATTTTCCTCTGTATCTGGTTTGACTTTAAATGTTTAAAAAAATAGGGAATTAAGATATGTAAAAACCAAACAGAAAGGGCTAATTAGAATTGTAATCCCATCATTGAGAATGTTAAGAAGAGGTTTGATGCTTGGTTGTTAAGGGATATATCTTTAAATGGTTGAGTATTGCTGTCAAAAAATTTGAAGGATTATCAAGACTAGTATATACTGCAATGGCATTGGAGATTCCCCAAGCAACAATTAAAGTAGACTTGAAACTGTTACATTTTGTTTGGA